TTATGCAAATCTTCCCAGATAGTGACGTAGGTATGTGGGGGCGTGTTAGAACGAGCCGTTTTAGGTAGGCTTTTATAAAGAATATCTCTTTGGATTTGAGACTTTAGTCTTTGCAACTTTACAGATCTTCTTTATGCACCAAGAGCTTGTATCACTTCAAAGAGAAAGGAAAAATTGAAATCGCATCATATGACCCCTTTAATGTCACTATTGATGAGGATTGTTTGATCTTTGAATAATATCGGACTTTAAATACAAGATATGTCAAATGTATCTAAAGTATACTCGCAATAGTTCCCCTTTAGCACAATCAAATATACTTCAGTATATCTTTAGTTGAACTTCAGCACTAATTCCGCACAATTAAAGTGCATTAAGTACAAAATTAGTTGTTACAATTTAGCAGAGTTTAAGTATATCAGTTTAGTAATTGCAGGGTATTTTTATTAAGTACATAAGTATGTGAATGCATTTGTAGTATACTTAGCATGAAATAAATGTATTTCAAATACATCTTAGTATATTTATTTTTCACTAGGACTGGTTTAATTATAAATATAACATTGCATATTGTCTGCTCACAATGTTAACTTAATGTTTACTTCCAAAATGATTACATTCTGTACATTTTCAGAAAAAAAAAAGGTACAAAAGCCGTCACTGGGGCAGTACCCTTTCAAAAGGAACTAACATGCACCTTTTAGGTGCTAATATGTACACTTTAGGTACTACTACTATGCAGATTTAAGATATTATAATACGCACCCTTTAGGGCTAAATAAGGTACAAAGATGTACCTTTTAAAAGGGTACCGCCCCAGTGACAGCTTATGTTCTTTTTTTCTCCGAGTGTGTTCATTTTTAGTTTGTGTTAGCTATTGCGTTCACTAATGTTAATGCATACGCCCTCACTGAAAACCACAACATTTCTATCAGATTTACATAATTAAAAATGGAACTTTTTACATGAAGTACAAGTTCATTTTTCATCACTCACGCACTCACTCCAGCTGCTGTAAACTGGAGGAGGCTAATCCTTCTGTTCTGATCCCCTGGCTAATCTTCGGAGGCGATGGAGAGCACTCGCGTTAAAATCCTCACATAATTGCAGTCACAAAGCTAATGAGTCATTCAGGCCTGGAATGGCTGTGCCAGGCTAGCATCAGAACCTAGCTTTGTCTGTCACTCCTGTCACCGTCAACCAGAAATATCACAACGGGAAAGCACGCAAACACAGGCGAGGATCCAGTAAAAAACGCCCACAATCCTGCCAACATAGAGGTTTCTCTTTCAAGACTAATTGAATTCAGAGATCACATTTTTTGTAGGCATTACTGGAACAGAGTCAGCGGGGCTTCTGAGAAGCGTTAGCACGTAGACACTATGGGAAGGCCAACCAAAGTAGTTTCGCTTTCACAACGAAACACAGCGCCTTCATGAATAAAAGTTACGCCTTCTTTCTTTGCGTGAACATTTGGGCGGCGTTATGCAAATCTTCTCACATCGTGATGTAGACATGTGGGGGCGTGTTAGAACGAGCCGTTTTAGGTAGGCTTTTATAAAGAATATCTCTTTGGATTTGAGACTTTAGTCTTTGCAACTTTACAGATCTTCTTTATGCACCAAGAGCTTGTATCACTTCAAAGAGAAAGGAAAAATTGAAATCGCATCATATGACCCCTTTAATGTCACTATTGATGAGGATTGTTTGATCTTTGAATAATATCGGACTTTAAATACAAGATATGTCAAATGTATCTAAAGTATACTCGCAATAGTTCCCCTTTAGCACAATCAAATATACTTCAGTATATCTTTAGTTGAACTTCAGCACTAATTCCGCACAATTAAAGTGCATTAAGTACAAAATTAGTTGTTACAATTTAGCAGAGTTTAAGTATATCAGTTTAGTAATTGCAGGGTATTTTTATTAAGTACATAAGTATGTGAATGCATTTGTAGTATACTTAGCATGAAATAAATGTATTTCAAATACATCTTAGTATATTTATTTTTCACTAGGACTGGTTTAATTATAAATATAACATTGCATATTGTCTGCTCACAATGTTAACTTAATGTTTACTTCCAAAATGATTACATTCTGTACATTTTCAGAAAAAAAAAAGGTACAAAAGCCGTCACTGGGGCAGTACCCTTTCAAAAGGAACTAACATGCACCTTTTAGGTGCTAATATGTACACTTTAGGTACTACTACTATGCAGATTTAAGATATTATAATACGCACCCTTTAGGGCTAAATAAGGTACAAAGATGTACCTTTTAAAAGGGTACCGCCCCAGTGACAGCTTATGTTCTTTTTTTCTCCGAGTGTGTTCATTTTTAGTTTGTGTTAGCTATTGCGTTCACTAATGTTAATGCATACGCCCTCACTGAAAACCACAACATTTCTATCAGATTTACATAATTAAAAATGGAACTTTTTACATGAAGTACAAGTTCATTTTTCATCACTCACGCACTCACTCCAGCTGCTGTAAACTGGAGGAGGCTAATCCTTCTGTTCTGATCCCCTGGCTAATCTTCGGAGGCGATGGAGAGCACTCGCGTTAAAATCCTCACATAATTGCAGTCACAAAGCTAATGAGTCATTCAGGCCTGGAATAGCTGTGCCAGGCTAGCATCAGAACCTAGCTTTGTCTGTCACTCCTGTCACCGTCAACCAGAAATATCACAACGGGAAAGCACGCAAACACAGGCGAGGATCCAGTAAAAAACGCCCACAATCCTGCCAACATAGAGGTTTCTCTTTCAAGACTAATTGAATTCAGAGATCACATTTTTTGTAGGCATTACTGGAACAGAGTCAGCGGGGCTTCTGAGAAGCGTTAGCACGTAGACACTATGGACAAGCTTTGAAAGACCTAATCCAATCACCGGCACTAGACCTGATGAAAATTTGCTTCCTTCCCCCAAGTTCAAACCATTTCCGACTGGAACCTGGTGAACTTTCAGGAAGAGAGTTTCTCGTGTTACCATTGAGACTGGTGTGATAAAACAGAGTTTTTTTTTAAGCTGATGAGCGCTTCACACGTTCTTAGCAGCCTTACCGTGATTCTAACGATGACTGTGGCTGTGCCAGGAAGGAGGACTCCTCCGTGATCTAACGCCTCCACTTCAAATGTGTAGGTGCTGTTGCCTGCTGCCAAGTCCTCAAAGTCTAGCGCCTGCAGGACTGATATGGCGCCGGTCAGACGGTTCACGGTGAAGAGCTGCCGAGCGGCTTCTGTTTTTATTCTGTAGGTCACGTTAGAGACGAGATCGGCATCCACCGCCTGAGAGACACAGAGGAAAGAGAACAGAGAGAATAAAGGTTAAAAAAAAGAGAGTTAATGATCCGACACTTTGCCAGGTACTGCAGGAATAAAGCTGCCTAAAAAGTTCCTTAAAGGGACAGTAAAACCATTGATTTTATCCATTGCAATTGATTGGACTAAGATTGGAGAGATCTTAAACGGTGGCCTCATGGACATGAAATGCTGTTCAATGTTTACTTCTGTAACAAGACTTATTTTTGAGTAAAAATGAATATTGAACTTCAAAAAAGTAGGGTGGGACTTGGGAATTGTCTGGATTTTTAAATGTTGTTGTTCCATACCACAGTTGAGGCAGATAATACAATTAACTGTCATAATCAAATGAAATTAGATTTTTTTATGTTTCATTGGCAAGACTAGATGAAAAAAAAAAAATATATATATAGCTGTGGGTTTTGGACGTGCATACCTATTTTGTATTTTTTTAATACTTAAATTCCAACAATAATGCAACATTACAGAGGAGTTGATTCAGAGTTGATTTAATGAGAATTATTTAGTTTCGACCTACTGGAATTGAGGCAGGTGGTTGGAGGAGACGGGCTGAAGTAGAAAGAGGGGTTTACAAGTCATTGCAATTGGGTTAATCACGTGTCAACTCAACCAAAGGTCCCTGGCTCAAATTTTTTATTTTGTTTATATTTCTTCTGAAGAAAGATCAACATGTATAGCAATGAAAGCCAAAATATGAAATGTAATGGATGTATGTTTACTGAGTAATCCACAATTTTTTAGAGGGTGGTCAAAATGACAGTTTCCCCTGAGATTCAGAGCCAAATTACGGGGGGGTTAAAAATGACTTCAGAAGGATGGCAGCATCATTATGTAATTTTTACACAGAGATTGGTAAATCTTTGTTGCATTGCATGCTAACGGTGACCATTCAAAAATGGGAAAAAGCACTTTTCAATTGTTTTTCTGCAAAGTTTGCAGGCCTGTAACTCAAGAAATATTACAGATATCTTAATGCCAAAATAGATTTTGGGTTTTAACAAATATTTATTTTGGTATCTTCATTTTTAAGGATCTATCTGGTCTCATTCCAGCGATATTGAAATCTCAATATGGCTCCTGGAGTAAATTGTTAAATTGTATACATTTTCTGTGGTCAAAAACCAAATGTGGGTCACTTTGCATTCAGCTGATACTTTTTCTTTTTAAAGAGAAATGTCCGAAGAACAAATTATGTTGAAACTAGACATATATCTTGTTTCCCTCTATCAAAACAATAGCATAGAACAGACCTTTCTGCTTGCCATAAATATTATTTTTCCAATGTTTGCGTGCCTGTAACTCAAGAAATATTAAAGATATACCAATATCACTTTAAGTTCTGGTTCTTAATAAACTTTTCTTTTGTAATCCTCATTTTTAAGATCATATATGGTTCAATCCCAGAAATATGGGGAGCCCATTACTACTACTAGTGGTAGGAATTTTGATCCATGGCAGTGATACTAAAAAGATTTGTTCACTAGTTTGTTCTTCTGCTGGCTACATTGTTTCACAAGTTGGCTGCAACAGAATCATTCTCATTAAATCAACACTGAATGAACTCCTCTGTAAAGTTTTATTATTGTTGGAATTCAAGGCTTAATCAAATAAATAGATACATAAACACATACATACATACAAACAAAACAGAAATGCACATCCAAAACCAAAAGCTGTAATTTCAGTGTATGAACATCTATCTATCTATCTTTTTTTTTTCAAGTCTTGCCAATAAAATTAAATAAATATATAATAAAAGATTACTATAGATTACTATTGCAATAATTTGCACTGACGAATTGTGCACAATTAGACGAAGAACATGAATTAAGCAAGTAAAACGGGCCAATTTTGATTCATTGATCGCATTGCATTTTGTTTGATTTCACAGTTTGTTGAGCATTAAATCAACTCAACAAACCATAAATATCATAGCAGAAGAGCAGCAAACATTCTCTCCGAGATATACAAATGTATGAATGCCATTGTATTAGATGACAAGATATCAAGTCCAAACTATAGTGGACATTTTCTCAGAATTAACTTTTACTTAGTATTTTTCCAAATACATTTAGACTTTTCAACATCATTGTGTGAAATGTTTTACTTGTAAAGTGTGCTTGAGCTATCCTTCTTAAAAATAAATGCCACTTGTTTTGATATGCTGTTATCCAGTATAATGCAATGACATTTATACATTTCTAAGTGTACCTCAGGTGTCCAGATATATTTTGGGGCCACTGCCCATGTTAAGCACACATAGATTCATAGTTGCGTTCCACATGCATGTGTATCTGAAGCTGATTAGGAGTGAAAGCAAACGGACAGCACTAGGTCTGTCGCAATATGAAGATTCGTTTTGGCGATCACTCAAGTTTTTTTTAGTATACTGCCATAACACAGCTCTACTAATATCCCACAATTCAGTAAGAGCCGAAAGATTATATCCATCAATTATAAAAGAGCTGTTGACTTTTGACGTATTTGATAATGTTTTAAAAGATAAACTGTTCTGAAATTCAATTCAGCTGTTCATTTAAAAAGTTTCTTAATATGGTAATGATGATTAACGATGATTGTTTCACTGATAGCCAAATTTACTCTTCTAATGCATTGCATTGTGTTTGCAAAAACATTGCGTAATGTTATCTTGTAATTAGTGAAGTGCCTGAATTTAGTGTTTGTAGGTCTGTCGCAATAATCAATATATCGACTTATCGCGCAATATATGTACATGACCTCAATGATTTTTGGTGACGCGATATATCGTCATATATACTTAAAAATTTATGTCACCGTGTTTTTTACATTTCACTTGTGCCTGTGTCTTTTGCAGCTTCTCGTACATAACGTGGTGTAGTCATGAGGTGCTAGTTCAAATTTAAAAAATGCTTCTACAAAAGTTT